ATATATACAGTATATTATATAAACAAAACTTTTATTTTGGATGCGATTAATCGCGATTAATCGTTTGACAGCACTAATACACACACACACACACACTGTCATGACCGGTACCTTCTCTGACTCCTTCTTGCCGTTCACCTGTGTGCTGTCACTGTCATTTGCACATGGTGGTTGTTTTGGTCCTGTCATTGTCATCCACACATGGTGGTGCAATCTTGCCGCACTGCGTGCTCCATCAGCCCGCACCTGTCACTCATTCCCACTCCCTATATATTCCTGTCTTTGTCTTCTTTCGACATGGGTATGTCTTATGTGTTGTTATGCCGTATGGCTGTATTTTGAGATTTCGCTCTCGCTCTCATTTTATTCAGGATCCTCAGGCGAGAAATTAATTATTCGTATGTGGACAGTGAGGCCGGATTGGGAGTGCTAGACTGGACGTTTCCAGTCATTCCTCTCAGCCCTCTGTCTCAGTGGATGTTTGCGCAGGGAGCGCCACACCACTTCATTCACCTGACTTTTGTGTTTCACTCTTTTGCTGGCTTTGTGATCTGAAGTTCAGAAAAAACTCTCTTTTGTTTGAACTGCATTTGAGTCCTCCGTCCCTTTCCTGACACACACACACACACACACACACCCTTGTTTATACTATCCTATTATCCTCTTCAAATTGATAATAAAGAATGTTTTATAGAATCTTATCAACCTTATCTACACCAACCGTAAACCTACCTGTCACAGAAACCTAACTTCATTTTAGCATTCTTATACATACATAAGAATGTTAGATATAAGAATGTTAAAAGGTTCTTATAACATTCTTATATAATTATATAAAAATGTTAAAATGTATATTAAAATGTATATGTATATAAATGTTAAAACATTCTGGTAACACTTTATTTTAAGGTGTCCTTGTTACACATGTTACATGTCCTTACTATTATAATAACAATTAGTTATGCTTAATTACATGCAAGTAACCCTAAGCCAAACCTAATCCTAACCCTAACCATATTATAAGTACATGTAGTTCATTAATATTACTCAGTACTATATATAAGAATGTTTTCTGTGACAGGTAGGCTTAGGGTTGGTGTAGGTTTGGACAATAGTATATTTAGTCATTTTTAGTCTTATATAAAACTAAGTTTGTCTTTGTGAAGTCTGATTTAAGGTCCTCTGGTCCTCACAAAGCAGTAAAAACAAGTGCACACACACACGCACACACACACACACACACACACACACACACACACACACACACATATACATAACAGGCATAGCATCATGACCACTGACAGGGGAAGTGAATAACACCGATTATCTCTTCATCTCATCAGTGGGCACATGAGCATCGGAACTGGACCACGGAGCAATGGAAGAAGGTGGCCTGGTCTGATGAATCACGTTTTCTTTTACATCACGTGGATGGCCGGGTTCATGTGTGTCGCTTACCTGGGGAACACATGGCACCAGGATACACTATGGGAAGCAGGAAAGCCGGCAGAGGCAGTGTGATGCTTTGGGCAATGTTCTGCTGGGAAACCAAGCATCTGTGGGATGTGCTGAACAAACAAGTCCGATCCATGGTGGCCCCACCTCGCAACTTATAGGACTTAAATGATCTGCTGCTAACATCTTGGTGCCAGATACCACAGCACACCTTCTTGACTTGGCCTCCAAATTCCCCAGATCTCAATCCAATCAAGCATCTGCGGGATGTGCTGAACAAACAAGTCCGATAAGCCTAAAAAGCCTAAAAGCCTAAAAAGACGCTCAGGACAGTTGACGGGCCACTGCTGCGCTTCGTCAAGAAAGCTTATCATTTGCAGGTGTTTTTAAGCCTTGCCTATTTAAACATTCAAAAGTGTTTAAAGCATTCAAACATAAGACGCGGAAAAGCTCAACTGAGTACTGGCGTGCCATGTTCGGTGCGCACGCAGAGAGCCGTGTCTCACGGACAGCAACACCGAACTGAGCTCTCCTTCGCGAAGTTTGCGTCCTCCTGCACCTGAACGAACAAATAAAAATCGCAGTTTAAACAAACAGAAAAAGACGTGAAAGAGCCCAATTCAACACCCTCGCGCAGTGTTATGTGCGCACAGGACGCACGCAGAGAGAGGCGTCTCAAAGCGCTTGAACACCGAATTTGTCTCTTCTTGCTCTTGTACCGACAATTACATACAAAATTATGTCAAAATACCCGTCTTGGAGAGTATGTTCGAAAAAACTGTCGCTATGTCTTAAGTGAAATTAAACAGTGGAGAAAGAAATCGGATGTGCATCATTATAATAGATGCATTGTCTCTTAAAGTGACCGCAGTTCACTTTAATGAGTACTAGTACTAGTTTATAGCTGCTGTTGATGTCCTTAAAGGGGTCATATGACGTTGCTAAAAAAGAACATTATTTTGTGTATTTGGTGTAATGAAATGTATTTATGCGGTTTAAGGTTCTTAAAGGGTTTATTTTCCACATACTGTACATTATTGTTTCTCCTCTATGCCCCGCCTTTCTGAAACGCGTCAATTTTTACAAAACTCATCAGTCTGAAAAGCAAGGTGTGCTCTGATTGGCCAGCTATCCAGTCCATTTTCGCTTTCACAACGAAACACAGCGTCTCCAGGACATGGCGGCGGCAGCAACAATACTACTGTGAGAATCAAAGTTACGCCTTCTTTTTTTTGTGTGAACATTTGGGCGGTGTTATGCAAGTCTTCCCACATCTTGACGTAGACATGTGGGGGCGTGTTTAAACAAGGCGTTTTAGGAGGGCGTGGCGAGTCTTAACTTTTAAATAGAATATCTCTTTCTGGGTTTGAGACTTTAGTCTTTGCAACTTCAGGGATCTTATCTATTTACGAACAGCTTGAAACACTCCAAAGAGAAAGGAAAACTTGAAATCTTATCATATGACCCCTTTAATGTTAATCCAAGAAAATGAAAGAAAGAAAATGACTCACTGCTCTTGACTGAATTACTTTGTAGTTTTAACAAGGATTAATCCACAGTCAAACCAAAAATTATTCAGACACCAGATATAATGTTTTTTAAATATTTTTTTTTTACTAGTGGGTGCAGGCCACTATAGTTCATTTATGTAAGTGAGTATAGCAAAATAAAGTAAACTGTGACATATTATACCCAAACATTCTTCATACTGTGGACCACCAGTGAAATTGATAAAAAAAAATTGGGACCAAAAATTATTCAGACACTTTGACCTGACCATGCTTTGCTTACATGTTTTTTCTTTAATTGCTAATACAACCTTTTTACACCACAGACTGAACAAAATTAAGAATTGCTTCGTAATTGGTCACCAAAGTATTGATAGGTGTGTAAATATTGCCATACAGTTGTCTGAAGTTTTGGTTGATTGTAATCCGTTACATACCTTTCTATCAAAGTTATCTGACATTATCAAGATGAATTTGTTCTGACACAGTTTAACTCTGAGTTCTTGTCATATTTTATTACCATATTCTAAACTATAGCAAATAAAATGTGATAATGTGAGAAATGTTGAAGGTATCTGAATAAATTTTGGTTTGACTGTATATTTAATTTTTACATTGAAGACTATGCAGTGCTATTTTACATTTAATTATTCGGTTTCTGTACCTGGACACCTACAAACTTGAAAAAACTTTAACATTGTGTAAATAAATACATAGAACAAACATACAAATTAAACAATTTCAAACAGGGCCCACTGGTACAACCTGCACCGGGGCCCCGTAAACCCCAGCCATGGCCCTGCATATACATCCTGATTATGCTGCTTGAACTTTGACATATTGTATCACGGTATTGTTATGCATCAGCTTTAAAAGAAAGCTTTGTTTTGTCTGTAACAGTCAAATCAGACCTCACAACACAAATGTCAGATGACAGTATAGTTATGTTTAGCATATCTGGGAGATAATCATGGCCACAAAATGTATTTCAAACCACTTTGGTGCTGTGAAGGTGAGGGAACATCACATTTTAGTCTCTCTCAAGGCATAAGACATGAAACTGGAAGTTACATTTCACATCATTTCAAAAGAATGAAAACCAGGTTCCAAAGTGAAACAGTGAAAGCCCTTGTTTACAGATAAAAGAGTAATTTAAGACTGCACAATTGTGATGTGCAGAAGAAAAGAACATGCAACCTCAAAGTAACTCATTTAGAAAATGTTTTTATGCATCAGTACATGTATTTCCCCCCTTTTGTAGCTCATTGATTGAATAATGTATGGGTATCTTTCCTAATAATTTCTTTTCTATTTGTGAGTTGTTTTTATCTTATTGCATGCAGTAGGCTATATGTGAGATTTTATAACTAATCCAATACAAATACAATAAATAAATAAATTAAAAGTTCCTTGCCATTTGTTAATTATCACCAATGAGTTAACAATTGAGATTCAGAAGTAAATTACTTTAAAATATTAAATTCTATAATGTGAATTCATGTGATTATCTTCCCACCTCCTTTAAGAGTAAAGCTATATAATTATTTCCCTGACAGTAAAATTCCAACTCATATGCATATTTTTTTCACCCACTTGCTATTAGAGGTTTTTCACTTCCTCTTCTGAGCATCAATATAAACTGGGCAGAAGACGCCTCTCGTCCTAGACTTGCTTCAACACAACTGATCTCAGCCTCAACATGTCACTGCTCTCTTACGTACTGCTGGCAGCTACTGCAGTGTGCTGCTTCACAACCCTCTGTGGTAAGAGTTTATTTTATTATTTTATTTTACTTTGTTTCATTTTATTTGTGCATTCTGTGTGGTCAATATAATGTGGTGTTTTTATGAATAGATAATAGTCTGTATAAACCAGGTGCTTTCAAAGTTTAAAAGCTGGATCTGTTAAAATGTGCTATAATTTACTGCAGGTTAATTGTGCGCTCAACTGATGTCGTAATTATTTTTAACAAATTAGCCGTTTATTCTGCATTCTTTATTTCTGATCAAATGGTTACAACATAGTTCTTTAGAGAAATATAATTCTAACTCTATGCACATGGCTTCTTTTAGCATTGCCAATGGAAGGCTTTGGTTCCAACAAGTGTCAGTGTGTGACCACCACCTCATCCATAATCCCATCCCGGGTGTTCCAGAGGATTGAGATCCTGCCTCCGGGAGCACACTGTCGCAAAACCGAGATCTTGTGAGTCATGATGTTTTGCCTCTACACGTTGGTGGCACACACACTTCAATCACAGACATGAGGGAAATGTGCAAAGGGGTGCATGTTTCCTCTGCTCTGACAAACCTCAGCGCTCTCAAAAATACGTTACATTATTCTCTCATTAGCCCACGCAGCTCTCAGACAAATGTCACTTATTGCCCATACATTTTAGGCAGATTTGTGTAAGACAGGCACATATTGTTGCAAATGTTTATGAAATATTTTTAAATTCCTTAGGATTACCAAAAAGAACAAACAAACAGTTTGCATAGACCCTGAAGCACGATGGATCAACAATGTCATCTCAAAAGTAATGAGGAGGTACGGTTTAAGTCTTAACTCCCAAAATCAAGACTGTCTAATCTAGATTTGACCTTTTTTTTTTCTTTCTTTGCATTGTCTAAATGTCTTCTTCTTTTGTTTCTTTTTCCTACAGCAAAAGAACTGCAAAGGAAACTGCTGTGCCCACTGTGGCATAAATCAACGCGAACAAGAACAACTTTCCGTTTCCTACTTTTCAGTTATTCCTTTTCATTCAAACAGCCAACTCGAGTGTGCTGAATGTTATTAGACCATATTTACGCAGTCACAAATGAAAAACAGTCTGTCTACAAAATCTGTAATTATTATTTTGAAATAAAAAACTCACAACCTTCTTTCTTTAAAATGACATCTTTATTGCCTTTAAGGTGGGAGACTAGAACAAGACTGAGAATTTCTTGTTTTACAAATGGGCCACATGTAGCACCATTTACATTTGCAAATGGAAAGATTTTTTCCCCATATTATCACCATATATGTTTATAGACTAAATAAAGAGTTACAAAATGTGTATTCCTCAGCTGAGGAGAAACTGCATGAAAAAAAGTCTCAAAGTCATTGAGAAAATCCAGTAATAAAGCCTTATCATCACATTGGGAAATGCTAGTTTTTGGATATTCTAAGGTTCTTGGCAAAACAATGCTTTACATCGTCTTACAATCATGGAAGACCTTCATTAATTTGAATTTGCCATAAAGACTGACTTCAAACCCTGTTGCCATAATACACATTCAATGAAAGACTACTTTTATTTTCCACATGCTTATTACTAGTTTAAAAATACTGCTTGTTCGTCAGTCTGGATTAAAATAACTGTCCAGTCAGACCATTTGCCAAGAGGAAATATTTCAGCATGTTCAGTGGGAATTTTTGTGAGGAGAACGTATACAAGTATCCATCAGAAAACAAAAATACTGCTTCCACTAACCAGGGAAACAATGGTAATTTTCTCAACTTCATAACAGAAAGATTTAAGATCCCGCCATTTCTGCAAAACAAATTGGCTTATCACTGCTGACCATGACATGTTTTAATAACAACAACATTATAACTGGATCACGGCCACTTTAGTAGTCATCGTGTCTCTCTGGTGAAGAGAAGAGATGGACAGATGAATGGACGAGTGGATGGAAGGGTGCTGGGATGGATGCTGGTGCTGGCTCACCCTGTAAGTGTCTTGCTTTCACAGGCAGTACTGCTGTAGAAAAGATGGTTCAGACTAGGCACAGTTTGATAAAAGAGGAATGCTCTACTTATCAATCAGTTTGCAAAAGTGACAAAAAAGTGAAAGCACTCATGCTCATAAGGCGTTCCACTTTTAGAAATGATGCAATGTCAAAAATTGCACAGGATTTCCTGATTAAATACTTTGTTAAATAAATACTCTGTTTTTGCTGACTAAAAAAACCTAATAAAAATGTCATTAAAATTAACAGGAAAGGGGAGTTAATCAGTGTGCTTATTGTTTATTTTCTAAAGTCTGATGGCAGTGATAAGTAACATGCAGCACACATAGTCCAACACTTAACAGTCCACTTCAGCACCTCTGACCTTTCCTTTTGAAATGTTTTACTCAGACCAGCTCAACACAGAACAAGGCACAGTCCGCCAAAGCATGTTCGGAAAGCTATAGCTTTGTCCAAATAGACATATGTGAGCCTGGATGTGTTGAACAGGCAAGTACTACCAACAACCTATTCTCCTCACAGGTTAAACATCATAAATGCTGCAGGATTTTAACTCAAGAAGCTTTAAGCATTAAACATTTTGGTGATTGCTAGCTTGAACAAAGGACTTTCGGTTTATTGAAGTCAGAATTCATGCAGGGAAATGTTTCCACAGTAGTCATGTGACAGACAACAACACTAATGCCACTGACATCAAATAAACGCTTTAGAAAATGTATACGTTTTTGCCCAAATTCAGATAAAGGCTGCAATGCACTACACAACTTTTGCCCAGATTTACAGTCTTGACAAGTTGACACTAGCTGCCTAAAGTCAGAGCAAATGCAGATTTGAGTTGACAGATTTCACAGAAAATCACAGTGTATGATGGGCACAGACTTTTTTTTTCGGACTATGAATCTGTCCAGTCGGAGGATATCAATCATTTTTGAGCCAATTTTACAACATATGTTGATTTAATTTGGTTATGCTTCTCTAGTCTCGCGTAGCCAGACCTTCAAACTAATGGCAGAAGGTCTGGGAAGTGGCAAAGGACCGCCCAAGAGGCCATATGACTGACAGGTAAAGGAACCAATCACGTTTCGTTTTGCGTCACGTCATGTTTAGGGGCGTGGAAATGTCCCCACAATTACAGACCTGTGTGTAAAACTCTTGGACCTATTTTATAGAGTCTATGCAGCGAACTTTACATATTTCACATACTTTTGAAAATCTAGCATTTAGTTGATCCTGATTAGCAGCCATTGTCTCGGTTGTAAATATGACTGCTTTGTTCTTCCATGAGGGGGTTTGGCACCACGGCATCTTTGTTTCCAGGTGGAACGTTAAAGAATGCTACACAAGTGTCTCCTGGAAATTCTGTAGAATTAAACCAATCAGATGACGACTTCGAAACTCCTGAAGTGTTTCTAATTTTGTGTGCCATATGTATCAGACATTCACTCAACAGTCCGTGAGCGTGATGCCTGAAGCTGAGACTATGAATCTTCCAACATTAGCTATGTTTTCTTTCAAAGTTATGAATTAAACTTGTGCGCAAATTTGGAATATTGCATAAAACATAAATCACCGAATAAAGCACCATTTCCATCCAGGGAGTTGAAGAGAACAAAATAGTCACTTCCTGATTAAGTTGCGCTAAATATCACGCAGAAAAATTTAATTTGCTGAAGTAGGAGAAGGCACTGTATATAATAATTTTTGTATACAATAATTTGTATACAACTTAGAGCATGCAGACAAAACGCGGTCATGTTATCTTATTTTCAGAGCCTGCTGTTTGGGAGCGCAGTTCTGGGAGTTAAAGGGTTAGTTCACCAAAAATTAAAATTAGCCCATGAATTACTCACCCTCAAGGCATCCTAGGTGTATATGACTTTCTTCTTTCAGATGAATCCAATCGGAGTTATATTAAAAATTGTCTTTGATCTTCCAAGCTGTTTAATGGCAGTCAGCGGGTGTTGCAGTTCACATCAGCCCAGAACTGCTTCCGTGTACAACTGTTGGCGCAAGCTAGCTTAAATTGATTATTACATTTTGAATATAGATATTTTTCTTACAAAAACGCATTGATTCGCTACAGGAGGCCTTTGTTCACCCCCCGGAGCCATGTGAGACACTTTTCATTATGAATGGATGCGCTTTATTTCACTTCTTTTGGACTGATGCACTGCAACACCCGCTGACTGCCATTAAACAGCTTGGAAGATCAAAGACAATTTTTAATATAACTCCGATTGGACTCGTCTGAAAGAAGAAAGTCATATACACACAGGATGCCTTGAGGGTAATTCATGGGCTAATTTTCATTTTTGGGTGAACTAACCCTTTAATTATAACAAAGCACTTTGACGAGACTTTGCTCAAGCATTTTAGAATGACAAAACTAGCATTTCAGATGCTGTGCAATGAGATCGGTCCGTTGGTTGGTCCAGTTGCTGTCCTATTGCAAAGTCACATGTCTTTTTTGATGCGCATTAAGAAATTTATTTGGTAAAAGTGTTTTGTATGCGCATGTTTTCTTACCGTATAAGAAATGTATGTTACATAATTGAGCGTGTAAGTTTTTATGCGCATTTTTAGAATTTATGCGCATCTTGGCATTTCAATCCAGTGTTTTTTTTTTTTAAGCGATATCCCAAAATGCGCATAAAAATAGGTGGATGGAAACATAGCTAATGACACGTTTCTGCATGAATTTGTTTTGTTCGGAAGAACACACAAGTTTGTTTGTTTATAATCTGTTCCAATTTTAAAAGTTGTGAAGTGCATTACAGCTTTTAGAGAAATTTAGCAAATGATTATGTCTTGCCAACCTTGAAAACCATAAAAATGTAGATATAACAGTGAGAAAGGCCTCTAACTATGGAAATGATCTTAGTTGCGCCAAACAAATAAAATGACATTTCTTGTCATTTCTCTTCTCCAACAAATCACAAAATGACATTTCTAAACATAAATTAACGTTCATCCTGTACCGATGCAGCTGACAATCCATTACCATTGAAACAAATGTGAAACAACCAGACTAAGACTAGCCTGAGTTAAACGCATAGTTGACCCAAAAATGAAAACTGTTCCACAGAAGAAATAAAGGCATAGAGGTTTGAGTCATTTTTGGGTGAACTATGCCTTAAACTCCTAGGTAGACTTCTGTAGCAATTATAAATTGTCCCAATAATGCCAACCACCTGCCAATCAGAGATTCTTTGGAGACGCTCGCTGACATGATGACATCACTGAGGCAGGGAGGACTTTGTATTGTGTAAATAGTAGTGCTGTCAAACGATTAATCGCATCCAAAATAAAAGTTTTTGTTTACATAATATATGTGTGTGTACTGTGTATATTTATTATGTATATATAAATACACACACATGCATATATATATTTAAGAACAATATGTTGTTTATATTTTAAATATTTATATATAATATAAATAATATGAATATAAATATATACATGTAAATATTTTCGAAATATATACTGTATGTGTGTGTATTTATATATACATAATGAATGTACACAGTACACACACATATATTATGTAAACAAAAACTTTTATTTTGGATGCGATTAATCGCGAATTAATCGTTTGACAGCACTAGTAAATATACATCAGAACGGTGATGTGATTTAGATGCCGATGCAAGCAGCAAGAGAAAACAGCACAGCTGGGTTATAATCAGTAGGGCTGGGATCCTCTTTAATAGTGTACATTTTGGACTTAAAGACAAGTTTGAATAATAATTTACATTGCACTATTAAGAATTTTCAATTAAAAATACATTGCTGAAAATTCCAACCTCACTGCAGTTTTTCACTTTATAACCTTAATGCAAATCCGTCCTGCAGTCACGTCAAATAGGGGAACTTGAATTTGTAATGCACAAGATGCAGTAACTATTATAATATTTGATGTTGCACAATGAAGAGAAAAATGTGGTTTTATTGTACTGGGAAATTTCCGAATTTGAACGCCATCATAAAGATTTAAAGATGCTGAAGGGGAATTTAAAAGAGGATGCTGATTGAATCAACATTTTTGTAATACTCGTGCTGACATTGTTATGCTACATGATCGGTCTTCGCTTAAGTTACACATTTCTACCATCCAAAAACTGACACATGGCTTATA